CACCAAACACCATCATTCTCCAACAAAAACTATGATTCTCCACCAAACATCATCATTCTCCACCAAACACCATTATTCTCCACCCAACATCATCATCCTCCAACAAACATCATTTTCCAACATGCATAATCATTCTCCACCAAACACCATTATTCTCCACCACACACCATCATTCTCCACCACACACTATGATTCTCCACCAAACACCATCACTCTCCACCAAACACCATCACTCTGCCCCAAACACCATCATTATCTACCAAACACCATCACTCTCCACCAAATGCCATCATTCTACAACACACACCATCACTCTCCACCAAACACCATCATTCTCAAACAAACACCCTCATTCTCCACCAAACATCATCATTCTCCACTAAACACCATCATTCTTCACCAAACACTATGATTCTCCACCAAACACCATCATTCTCTACCAAACACCATCATTCTCTACCAAACACCATCACTTTCCACCAAACACCAACTGGTAATATTATTGTTTGGCCTCAGAATGTTTCAGTAACTAACATGGTAAATCAAGCACTGTGAACGAAGAATATTTTAGAGTTTCCCAACAAACAGGTTCACCAACCCAATGTTTTTCTTTTTGTTTTTTTTTTTATTGTTGTCTGGACAATGTTCAGGACAGGGGGGTAGGGATATAGAACATAAAAAAAATAAAGGAAATAATAGAACATATTTAAATAAAGGAATAATAGAACATGATGAAACAATAGAAATGATGGAACATGATTATGTAATGGAAAGAATGAATATAGGTTCAGTAAGTTACCTTGAACATGCCTATCAATGCCTATTGAAGACCAGGTCATGCTCGTTGGGTGGGCCGCAGCACTGCTGAGTTTAGTGTCTTCCTTAATTTAACCTCCATATTGATTAAAAAGAAACCATATCAACTTCTCATATAACACGTATTTGAACCTACTACTTATTATTCATGTGAAAAACTGAAAAGGTTTCACCTTTTTCACATGGACTCTGTTCATATAGCAGCGTGAGAAGCTCAGAGAGCAAAACAAGCAAACCCATCACCACACGCAGCACAAAACAAACTGATGTTTTGTGTGATTAGCCTGGTTTTGGCTGAAGTGTTTCTTGGCCAGGTCATTAACCTAAATGGGCTAATGGGAGATTCATGAGCTTTTGATTGGCTTGTGTTCTTCCAGTCCATTAAGCAGAGGGAGAGGGATTCTGACAGTTCCCTCCAAGCATGGTGGACCACTAATGCAGCTACACGGCACAGCAGTGAACAAAACAGCTGTACTGGGGGAGGTGAAGAGATGTTGTTGATATCATACTCTACCTTTACAGTTAATGCTGTTTCCTTTCTTTCCAGAACAGGTTTAGCTTTGCACACAGTTTCCAAACCTGTACTGTGCTTCATACAGCTTATACAGTCATTTCAATGAAGCGACCTTCATAGAGAATAGATAGAATGGAGGAGGAAGGAACACAAGGAGAGAAAGAAGGAGGAAGGAAGGACAGAATGAAGGAGGAAGGAAGAAGACACACAATGTTACAAACAAACAGGAGAATGATGGAGTTTAGTGAAGGGTGATGGTGTTGGTGGAGAGTGATGGTGTTTGGTGGACAATGAGAGGGGCTTTTTTGGAGAAAGATGGACTTTGCTGGCGAATAATGAAGCCAAATGGCAGCATTACAATGTTGGGGTTTGGTGGACAATAAGAGGGGTCATTTTGGAGAATAATGGTGTTTCTTGAAGAATGATGGCATTCGGTGGAGAATAATGAAGCCAAATGGCAGCGTTACGATGTTGGTGTTTGGTGGAGAATGAGAGGGTTTATTTTGGAGAATGATGGACTTTGTTGGAAAATGAGGAGATCAAATGGCACCATTACAATGTTGGGGTTTGGTGGAGATAATTGTTGCAGAATAATGGTGTTTGCAGGTAAATGTTGGTGTCTGGAGTATGACTGTGCTCTGTGGAGTGTAATGACGTTTGTTGGAGAATGATGGTGTTTGGTGGAGAGTGATGGTGTGTGTTGTAGAATGATGACATTCGGTGGAGAATGATGGTGTTTGGTGGAGAGTGATGGTGTGTGTTGTAGAATGATGGCATTTGGTGGAGAATGATGGTGTTTGGTGGAGAATGATGGTGTTTGGGGCAGAGTGATGGACTTCGTTGGAGAGTGATGGACTTTGTTGGAGAGTGATGGACTTTGTGGGAGAATGATGAAGCCGAATGGCACTATTACAATATTGGGGTTTGGTGGAGATGATTGTTGGAGAATGATGGTGTTTGGTAGATAATGATGGTGTTTGGGGCAGAGTGATGGACTTTGTTGGAGAGTAATGGACTTTGTGGGAGAATGATGAAGCCGAATGGCACTATTACAATATTCGGGTTTGGTGGAGATGATTGTTGGAGAATGATGGTGTTTGCAGGTAAATGTTTGTATCTGGAGAATGATTGTGCTTTCTGGAGTGTAGTGATGTTGGAGAATGATGGTGTCTGGTGGAGAACAATGGTGTGTGTTGTAGAATGATGGCGTTTGTTGGACAACGGTAGTGCTTGTTGGAAAATATTGATTTGCAGAAGAAGGTTGGTGTAAGCTGGAGAATGATGGTGTTTTATATGGAATGATTATGCTTGTTGGAGAATTATGGTGTTTGTAGAAGAATATTAGTGTTTGTTGGTGACCAGTGCTGTGTGTTGGACAGTGATAGTGTTTGCAGGTGAATGTTTGTGTTGTTAGAAAAATGCTGGTGGACTGTAGAACGATGGTGTTTGTTGGAGAGAAATGGTGTGTGTTGGAGAATGATGATGTTTCATGGAGAATGATAGTGTTTGCAGAAGAATATTTATGTTTGTTTTGTTGGGAATGTTGGTGTTTGTTGAAGAATAATGGTGTTTGATGGAAAGTGGTGGTGTTTTGTGGAGACTGACAGTGTTTGTTGGGCAGTAATGGTGTATGTTGGAGAATGATGGTAATTGTTAAAGAAGATAACCACATCTTTACATGAGATACAGGCTCATTCATCAGCATCAGTGAAGTAGGGGACGTTTACACAATGTCTACATTTCCATTGCTTTATTATTTTAAAAGGTGTCTAGAATTAAGAAATACTGATGCACATGGTTCATGTGATGCTGCAGTGATTTTATATGAAGAGATGCTTTCTTCATAATAATGTTTACCTTTTTCATCATCAGTGCTGTGTTAAATGTATGTGACAGAGCAAACAGAGCAGGCCTTAATAACCAATCTCACAGCATTCACTGAGTTGTTCAGATTATCTTAATCCCACTGAAGCGATCAGGAGTCAGATTAGGACACAGATTTAGGTTACTGTCCGCTTTAACACACTCATTTATAACCCCTGAATGAGCTGCTTTTTTGCATCAATCAACAACTAATTTATTAAAATATAGGACGTTTAGTAACATCTTTGGCATTTGATTATTTTCCCCTGCATTTGTGCAAATATTTTCATACTTTTGCAGATGTTTCCAGATTAGTACAATGTATACAGATTACTGGAAATGTATTTAGATTCTTGCAGTGTAGATTATTCTAAACACTTCTAGACTTTTTCGAATATTTTCAAGTATAAAGACTGTTTAAGATGTACAGACTGTTGCAGATGTATAAGATATAAGTAGATGTACATGTACAAACAACTGTAAAACTATCTAGATGACTGTAAATGTACAGGCTACTGCAATTTAGACCATTGTACACCTTTTCAGACTACTGTAAATGTATCTGAACTCCTGTAAATGCATGCAGGGTAGCACAACTATATCCAGACTATAGCAAATAAATAGACTACTGCAAATGTTTATAGACTAATGCAATTGGTACTAGACTACTGTAAATATACCAAAACTGTCATGATTGTTTCTAGACTAATGCAAATGTTTCTAGACTATTGCAAATGTATCCAGACTAATGCCAGTGTTTTTAGACTATTGCAAATATTTCCAGACTTTCCTAAATGTTTCTAGACTATTACAAATGTATCCAGACTAATGCAAGTGTTTCTTGACTATTCCAAATGTGTCTAGACTAATGCAACCTTTTCTAGAATTTTGCAAATGTTTCTAGACTATTGCAAATGTATCCAGACTAATGCAAGTGTTTATAGACTATTGCAAATGTATCCAGACTAATGCAAGTGTTTCTAGATTATTTCAAATGTTTCTACACTAATGCAAAAGTTTCTAGACTACTCCAAATATTTCTAAACTACTGCAAACAATTTAAACTATTGCAAATGTTTCTAGACTTTTGCAAATGTTCTAAACTACTGCAAATATTTTTTATAAATGTTTCTAGACTATTGCAAATGTATCCAGCCTAATGCGAGTGTTTATAGACTATTGCAAATGTATCCAGACTAATGCGAGTGTTTATAGACTATTGCAAATGTTTACAGACTAATGCAAATGTTTCTAGACTACTCCGAATGTTTCTAGACTACTGCAAACAATTTAAACTATTGCAAATGTTTCTAGACTTTTGCAAATGTTCTAAACTACTGCAAATATTTTTTTGTAAATGCTTCTAGACTACTCCAAATATGTCTAGACTTTCGTAAATTCTAAACCACTGCAAATATTTCTAGACTGTTACAAATGTTTTGAGCTATTGTCAATGTACAGACTATTCGCTCCGCCTCCAGATTATTGCAGATGAATATGTATTTATTATTAATATATCCAGATTTTTACTGTTGTACAAAGAAAATGGCAAATGAGTGCAGATTAAAACAGATTAACACAGATGCGTTCTATTGCAAACGTATCCAGACTGCAGCGTAATCCGCGCTGCTCTGCACGCCACGCGCAACTCTTTCCGGGTGTCTCTCTCTCTTCGCCCCGGAGCCGCTCGTGTCTCTGATTTTTTTCTGGTTTCCTCTCTTCCTGGGTCGAGTCTCCTTTAAATATCCACCGATTCGTTGGAGTGGAAAAGCCTTTTGCATCGCTCGTTTATCCCGCCAGCACTGAGCCCCGGAGCGCGCGCGAGAGACACCGTGATGGCAGCTCGATGCCTCGCGGAGAGAGGGGAGGACGGAGAGGAGAACGCATCCGACCACATCTCCTAACGGCAGCCTCTCTCTCTCCGCCATGCCGGAGCTCTCCTCCTGATCGCCTCCTCTCTTTTTATTTGACTTCCTTCATTTTCCTCTCGTTTCTTTCGCTTTGCACGATGGTTCGCGTGGTCAGCGTGCTCGGCTTGGTCATGTTCAGCGTGGCTCTGCTCATCCTCTCCCTCATCAGCTACGTTTCCATAAAGAAAGACTTCATCTTCACTGCCCCCAAATACGCCAACCCCGGGGGTCCAAGGATGTACATGTTCCATGCAGGGTTTAGGTAAGTGGGAATGACCCCAGCAACGTCCTTACTGAACGTTTATGGAGCGTTTCAGCGATGCTGGCCGCCTGTTTAAGACGCTGCACGCTGTTGTGTTCATCCTATTGGTGTATAGATTGGTGGGTTTGTGGATGGGGGTCTACTGTCCGCACTGATACCCCTGAAACCGTGAGAGGTACTGGAGGCCTTGGTGTTATGGTACAGTAAGGTCCTGGCAAACGGCGCAGGCGCACTAATCCAAGCCTGGGCAGAAGAATGAGGACAGGCTGTGATGATCTGAGCTCACGCGCTCATATTTCGCAGCGTATTGATGCTGGGATTCTGCACAGTCACCCCACCTGCTTTCTAACGTCATGGCCTTTGGGTTGCGGCTGCTTTTAGCGCCAAAACCTGAAGCTTTTGAAGAAACTCGTGTAAATATGACCCTGGTGGAGCACAGTGTCTCTCTACCCCGTTTCCCTCCCTCTCTCTCTCTCTGTAATAGAGACTGGGGAAGTGCTGGGATGCGGAATGCGTGTCTTTGACGTTAGAGTCGTGGCTGATGGAGCTGTCCGTGGTCCTGATTTACTCCTGTGGTCCTGATGCTTCATTCCAGTTGATTTCTGAGCTTCTGCTTCATAGCCAGGTTGCGTAGGGAGCCATTTTGCCCAAGCACAGAGGGGAGGGGAGGGGAGGAGAGGGGAGGGAAGGGCCATATGCTTGCTGCAGTGAGATGGTTTGTTGACATACCCTGACAGAAGTCAATATCACAATATTTTCCAAATATATCACAGTATCAGGTGATATTAAGTTAGCATTAAACAGCCCACATCATGTAGAACCCATTTAAGGCTTTGATGTAGCCCGTAAAAATGGTTAAAATTTCAAAAACGTGCTGCTCCCTCCACAGTCCATACGGTCGATATATGGAAACTGAGCTCATTTTCACTTAATCGTTTTTGTGATGTCACAAAATGTGTTACATACATCCACATATCCTGTCTAGTAGTTTAGCCTATCCTATTTATGCTGAAGCTATAGGGAGTGTTTCTGCTTTTTTAATGAGGCGCAAGGCATGACAGCCAATCAGATCAGAGCTCCAGCGCCACTTATTATATAGGTGCACTTTGTAGTTCTACAGTTACAGACTGTAGTCCATCTGTTTCTCTGATACTTTGTTAGCCCCCTTTTACCCTGTTCTTCAGTGGTCAGGACCCCCATGGACCCTCACAGAGCAGGTACTGTTTGGGTGGTGGGTCATTCTCAGCACTGCAGTAACACTGACGTGGTGGTGGTGTGTTAGTGTGTGTTGTACTGGTCTGAGTGGATCAGACACAGCGGTGCTGCTGGAGTTTTTAAACACCTCAGTGTCACTGTTGGACTGAGAATAGTAAGTGGAGCTGATAAAATGGACAATGAGCGTAGAAACAAGATAATCATAATGTTATGCCTGATCGGTGTAAATATATTTTTATATATATATCGGTCTTAAAGACTGAGTAACAAAATCGCTTAAGAGCATTTTGGCATGTAATCTTTATTTTAAATCAGTTTCTCATTTAAATAACATGAATCTGATAAAGTGGTACATCAAAAGTGAGAGGCGACTGGCTTTTCATTACAATGAGTCATGCATGATTGTGTTATGATGTATTATATTGTATATAATAAACTGGCCAATTGCCGACAGAGCCGGTCCTGACCTCCCTGGGGCCCTAAGCAAAATTTTGCAAAGGGGTCCTCCTATGTGTCCCGTGAGCCATGTAAACCATTTGAAATTGCCACACAGTCACACCTGACACCCCAGTGCTCTCACTACAGTCCTCCCTCCTTTAAAACAGCCTGCTCCATCTGTCGATCCAAGAATAAGTTGACCTTACAGAACAGAATGAGGTACAAACAATTTTTATTGACTAGACTATTTTCTGTACAATCTTCAAGAGAAGGGAATAATAACATACTATATGATACAAAAACATAGTGTAAAATGATAATAATTATAAATACTAATAAATAACAAATATAAATACTGTTTGTACTGTGGCTTGGCTGGTTATTATTTACTGAGAGATGTGCATCCATTTTGCCCAGTTAATCAACATTTTAAATTCAATATTTAATCAATAATCAATGTCAATCCATTGCTTTCCATTTTGCTTTAGTCAGAGTTGTAACTAAACCTTGACTGAGAGACTAGATAATCACTGTCTTGTTTTAAAATGATGAGCTCCTTTGAGGATCGTACCAGCACGCCTATATACTGTCTGGCCTGGACTGGACTGGACTCAGTTTGTAAACAGCACTTCTGTTGTAACACAACAACTTTTATTAGTTAATAAAATATTCAGACTTTGGGACACATTGACTTCAAAACAGAAGTTACTGTTATTTGTTGACAACAGTGAGTGGAGAGAACACAAGTTTACCTGATTTCTGTGCCGCAGTTCACTCTTACTGTGTTTTTTCTTTTTATTGTGACCAGATGGATTGTTCCACTTCATCCTCTCATCGAAGCTGTAAACAACAAACAGCTTTAACACAAGAGGGAGGTGGGGCCCCTGCGTTATTTGCGTGGCCCTACGCAATGAGCGTATAGCGTATAGGGCCGACTGGGTCTGATTGCCCACATCATGTTTTGAGCAAAACTCTAACAATTCAAATCTTGGCTGACTCTGCTTGTACATCCTTACTATATATAGAACGGTGAAGACTCTGAGAATCAATTGAAGGCATAAATGGTTATTTGAATGGTTAAACGGTTCTATGAAGAACATGTTATGTATGAAACCTTCTTAAAAATGGTTCTGTATAGCACCAAATATTATTACAAGTCAAAGAACCTAATCAATGTCCATTGCATCAGAAACACCTCCCATATATGTTCACTTTGTATGTTTAGTTACAGACTGTAGCGCATTTGTTACTGCAAAATAGAAAGGCACCACCAAAGGACCACCACTGTCCAGGAATTATTTGGGTGGTGGTCCATCCTTAGCACAGCAGTGACAGTGACATGGTAGTGTGTGTGGTGCTGGTGCAAGTGTATCAGGTACAGCAGTGTTGTTGGGGTTTTCACACACACCAGTGTCAATGCTAGGTTGAGAGGAGACCGCCACCCAGAAATATCCAGACAGGAGTGGCTCTGTGGTCAGAAACTGACCGTTACTGACGTTCTAGAGGATGACTAACACAAACTGTGCATCAACAGATGGACTCTAACTGTACGTTAGCAAAGTGGATCTACAAGGGAGGGGTTTCTGATAAAGTGGCCAGTGTACACAGTGTGGAAATCTACACCTGATACACATCTGATACACTCACACTACACACACACTGTCAGTGTCACTGCTATGCTGAGAATTAACCACTATCCAAATAATATCAGGTCAGTGGTGGTCCTTTGGTGGTCCCTTTCTGTTCGGGCTTGAAGGGGGATGATAATTTGTGCAGTAACAGTAACTGTAAACCTACAAAGTGCACATATGGTAGGTGTTTCTGATAAAATGGCCAATGAGTATTTCATGTTGTGTTTCTGTTATTTTGTCCATGCCTGTAGTTCTGATTGGTCTGATCCAGTTCCAGTTCCAGTTACTTCCAAAGAGGCAACTTACACAGTACTATAAACATTAATCAGAAAATGAAAACGTACTGTTTATTTAGTTTTGGTGTATTTTAAATAACTTTAAAGCATCCAGCAAAATGGCATACTTTGCACAAACTTTAATAAAAAAACAAAAACTAAAAACTGCCCGACCAAAGGGACAGGACTTATTCATAGGCACTATATCTTGATCTATTAATATTACTGGAAAACTGAAAAGCAATATCAGAGTATGTCATTATAACAGAATCCAGTACAGACAGTGTGGCCCATTCTACTGAATTAAATCAGACTGCGACCCCACAGTGAAAGAAAATATTTAATAAACACTGAAATATTCAGAGCTTAAATATTTACAGGGATTATGTTATGATCTATTAAAGCCCAAGGCATTAATAGAGGCAGTAATAATCTAAATATATACAATATCATCATTTATAGGGTACTTACTGTTGGGGGGGTATCTGGCCAATTTACACTTGTCAAAATAATGTTATTTTTTGAAAGATCTTTTTTGATTTATTTTGAAGTTAAGTGGAAAATTTTGATTTATAATGAGTTTAATTTCAAAATGAAGACAGGTGCTTATTTTAGCCACGCCCCCTCTAGAGCAGGAAGTGAGGCTGCATCCCTGTCCCCTCATGGCCACATGGTAAGCAGTTAGAACCCATTGTTTTGAAGTAAATGTGTCCCAAAGCCTGAAAATCAGTCCAAAAGAGTTCAAAAGTGTTTTCAACTCTGACTTTGAACCGGTTTAGTAGAATCATCACCCAGCACTAACACTGACTCTGGACTTTTCTCTAAGTTGCTGGACGTGTCAAGACTGTCTGATCTTCTGATTATAATCCATATTTTATATTAAATACCTTTTAAACCACCTCACACACTTTCACTAAGGGCTCTACACTCTTAAAAACAAAGGTGCCAAAAGGTTCTTTGTGGTACCGTAGAATAACCACTTGGTTCCATAGAGAGCCTTTCATTGGACGGTTCTTTTAAAAACTCCGTTTGAAAGGCTGAAAACCACTCAGCTGAACTGATGTTTTAAGAAAGTGTGGCATCACTAGGCGCTGCTCCAAAGAACCCTCTTATGCGCCATCGCTCTTAATAGTTTATGCTTACTGCAGTGCGGTGCAGTGATTTGTCGATGTACATTGTGAATGTGGACCATTTGCTTTTCTGTTAAATAGAAAGACACTTTAAAGGGGAGGTGCACTGATATTTAAAGTTTTCTGGATAATTAAACGAATAAGATGTAAACAACGTCATTCAGAGTGGTTTGGTGTGAAACGCTCTGTTCTAGAGAAACTTACCGAGCCAGAATTGTTCACAGTGTTGGTGATAGGAACCAGACTGCCTATTTGGAGCAAAGGTAAAGCACAGAAGACCCTGAACACGACAGATTTTTCAAAACATTCTGCATAATTCAATCATTAAGATGTAAACAAAGTCATGCATGGTTATGAATATGCTGCCTGATACCAGAGACATTGTTTATAGGCCCAAAATATTTTTTTGTATTTTTATATATTTATAAACATTTCAAGATTCTTCACTATTTTATCATCATCAATATTCCATATAAACTCAGAAGACTCGTGTAGGTTCACTGGTGGTTTTGGATGGTAAATAAAATGTCTATATTTGTGTTGTAGTCATGGCGACCCCTGGTTCCTATCACCACCACTGTAAAGACATCTGAACCATTTCACACCAAACCACTGTGAATCACTCTGTTTACGTCTCAAACACTGAGTTATGCAGAAAATCAGTGGAATTGTCTTTTAGGCTGTTTGAACTTTAATTGGAGCATTTTTGTGCATTAGACACTTTGAAAAAAACAAGAGACCTTCGATTGGTCAGAAAGTATATCTTCAAAAAGAACCGCACATTAAGCGTCCCACACGTTTCACTCGTACCGTGTTGAAGCTCTGTCTCTGAGGCAGTGGCCCAACCCTCAATAACCTTTACTAATAAAATAGTACAAGCACTAATGAGTGAGGATGAGAAACTGACCAGGCCTGAAGTCTAAAAAGAGGCTGTTTAATTAGAGTGGCCATTGACTGCCCGGGGCAGGGGGTGAGTGGCGCAGGGGCGGATGGGGTGGCATTGATCCGAGCTACTTTCAGCAGCTGCCACTGCCGTGACATCAGGACCAGGTCCTCCTGTGAAATGGAACGGAAACTCCATTTTCCTGTTGCCCCCAGTGCCCAACCCCCCCCCAGCCCAACCCCCTTTTTTTATTCATCCCTTCTTTTCTTCTCTTTAGGTCCCAACTGGCGATGAAGTTTCTGGACCCAGCATTTACACCTCTGAACAACGCCCTGAACGAGAACCTGCAGGAGAACTCCTCCAAGTGGAGGTTTAATAAGACGGCCTATTTGGAGCAAAGGTAAAGCACTGAAGACCCTGAAAATGATTTTCAAAACCATTAAGATGTAAACAAAGTCATTCATAGTGGTAGAGAAACTGTCGCAGTGGTGGTGATAGGAACCAGACGTCCACCTCTAAAAGCCCCCTCACACAAAGTTATTACATTAAATGGTTATGAATTCACTGCCTGATGTCTGAGACATCGTGTTATGATAGTTTTGAGAAGACTTTGGCCTAAAACATATTTTCACACCAGACAAGTACTTGCAGGGCATGGAGGCTACAATACAGTCCCAAAAGAAAACTTTTTTGTTTATATATTCATAAATATTTTTTGATTTTCCACTATTTTCCATCATCAACATTCCATATAAACTCAGAAGACTTGTGTAGGTTCACTGGTGGTTTTGGATAGTAAATAAAATGTCTATATTTCTGTTGTAGTCATGGCGACCCCTGGTTCCTATCACCACCACTGTAAAGACATCTGAGTGTTTGTCTTGTTTGTGTTCATCAAGGGTTCTTTAGTAAAGACAATGGTTCTATATAGAACCATGAACACTCAAATAACCATTTGCATGCTTAAAGTGTTCTTTGCATGGTCAAATCATTTTTCACATTGATGAAGAATATGTTGTATGTGGTTCTATATAGAACCTTTTTAAAAAAATGGTTCTGTATAGTACCAAAAAGGGCTCTGCTGTTGTCACAATGTTAAGTTGTAACAATCGAAAAACGCTTTTTGGTGCTGTATAAAACCATATACAACACATTCTCCATCAATCGGAAGAACCATTTCACCATGCAGATGATTCTTTCAAGTGTTCAATGTTCTATTTAGAACCATTGTCTTTACTAACCCATGAAGAACCACTTTTTTAAGAGAGTAGAACAGAGTATTTCGCATTAAATCACACTAAATGACTGCTTACATCTCAGCCACTGAAATTTAGAATTATGAGGAAATTATTTAAAAAATGGTAGAAATTTCTCTTTAAGAATGATTAACATGATTGATTAACACAGTCACTGTTTCATTACTGCTGTCAGTTAAGAACCAGTAACATCATGGTTATAAAACAGGCTGGTAACTGCCGTTTTTCCCATTTTTAAAAATCTTATACGTTTTATTAAAGTATACACTATGGGTCTTCCCCCTCTCTCTGTTTCATTGCTGTTTTCCTAGCACATGGTCAAAGGAGATTACTCCTACCCAGCAACATTTAACTGAGCAGGGGAAAAAATACTCAGTCTAATCTTCTGTTAATCCATCTGGGGTCATGGAGAACAAGAGGAACTGTGATGGGAAACAATATAGACTCCATTACAGATAAGAACATGAAAAATCTGAGAATCTGGCTGCCTCTGTGCAGACCTGAACTGAAGGAACGTCAGATCCAAACTGAACCATTACAGATCCAAACTGCCTGCACAGCTGCTGCTCAGTAGACTCTGTGCGTCTGGGCCTGGTGCACCAAGAACAAATGAGCTTCATGACTACAACCCTTTCATGAACTCATAACCTGTTTATGGTGGTCTTTGTTTCACTCTTGGTTCCTCTCAGTGGTTCTTCCTCATGTTGTCAGGCGGTTTTGGCTTTTGAGGTTTGGTGCAGTGTTTCTCACTCATGCTCTTAGAGAGTTTCTACTTATGAGTCTTGGTTCCTCTCAGTGGTTCTTCCTCATGTTCTCAGGGAGTTTCTCCTTTTGAGTCTTGGTTCCTCTCAGTGGTTCTTCCTCATGTTCTCAGGGAGTTTCTCCTTTTGAGTCTTGGTTCCTCTCAGTGGTTCTTCCTCATGTTCTTTCAGACAGTTTCTCCTTGTGACTCAGTTCTTCTCAATGATTCATTGTTATGCTCTTTAGGCAGTTTTTCCCATTGAGTCGTGGCTCCTTTTAGTGGTTCTTCCTCATGTTCTCAGGGGGTTTCTCCTTTGCAGAGTTGGCTCAGTGGTTCTCACTCATGCTCTTAGAGTTTCTCCCTTTGAGTCTTGGTTCCTCTCAGTGGTTCTTCTTCATGCTCTTAGGCAGTTTCTCCTTTTGAGTACTGGTTTCTCGTCCTCATGCTCATAGGGAGTCTTTCGTTGTAAAGTGTAAAGACCCACATTTCTGGAAAGCTGTTTTGTGACAGTGTCTGCTGTAGAAGGTACTAGACAAATAACGTGTTTGAATTGAACTGAACTGAACTGAATTGAACTGAATCAAATCCACCCTTGTTCCACCCACAAATTTTGGCTAAGATACCTAAATTTAAAATGAGATATTAACTTCAGTTGATATGTGTTTTACATTTGTGTGAAAGGTCAAACTGTTACATCCATACATATTGCATACTGCGCTGCCAGTTGTTTATACACACATTCCTATTGCACAACTATTAACATATGTTGTCGTTTACAGTGTTTGGTCAATTGGGTCATCCACTGGTCGTGACATGCACCACTGCATTGTCACCTGCATGATATCAATGCAATTTTACTCACTTATCCTCGTACTGCACATTATATTTTGTGGTTGTTTTAGTATATTTTATTATATATCTTTACTTCTTCTATTTATGCATCTGTATAATAGCGTATGGCAATACTTGTGCTCTTGTTTTGCTCTTTACTGTACTTTGTTTGGTTGATTAATAAAGTGATCTATCTGTTAGGACTGGTCCAATGAAGGTTTTTTGCTATGTCTTTGACACATCCCAAATATACATTTGCTGATACAAACCAGTCTAGTTTCAGTTAGCCTCAAAACCAAAGATTTGTCAGTCTATCTTTAGGTTAAATAGGATTTTTGCAAAAGCTCTGCCAAGTTCCTCAAACATTTGCAACAGTAGCTACAAAAGAATGCATTTGTAGGAGGAACATTGTCTGGACAATCGAATCTTAAAGGTTCCAGTGTGAAAAGCCCCCCGATGTGAACAGTGATTGTTTGTGGGTTCTTGTCTGTGTTGCAGTAAAGAGATTGCCCAGTACATCGACGTGCCACACAACTTCACCCTGACCAAAAACAGCGTGCGTGTGGGTCAGCTGATGCACTACGACTACTCCAGCCATAAATACGTCTTCTCCATCGGCGAGAACTTCCGCTCTCTGCTTCCGGACTCCTCCCCCGTCCTCAACAAGCGATACAACACCTGCGCCGTCGTGGGCAACAGCGGGATCCTGACGGGCAGCCGGTGCGGCCCCACCATCGACAAGTACGACTTCGTCTTCCGCTGCAACTTCGCGCCCACCGAGGTCTTCCGCAGAGACGTGGGGCGACGGACCAACCTCACCACCTTTAACCCCAGCATCCTGGAGAAGTACTACAACAACCTGCTCACCATCCAGGACAGGAACAACTTCTTCCTGAGCTTGAAGAAGCTGGACAGGGCCATCCTCTGGATCCCCGCCTTTTTCTTCCACACCTCCGCCACGGTCACGCGCACGCTTGTGGACTTCTTCGTGGAGCACAGGGGTCAGCTCAGAGTGCAGCTGGCCTGGCCTGGAAACATCATGCAATACGTCAACAGGTTAGAAATGGCATGAGTTAAACATATAAATCCAAATATATTTAATTGCGTTGTTTTTTTTTTAATGCTTTATTGTGAGACTCCACTGTGGATGCCTTGTAGATACTCACTTTATCTGTAACTTACTTTCCCTGATATTAAATGCAACTGAACACAAAGTTATAACAAAACAGTTTCTGTTAAAGGAAAATATTTTTTTACATTTTAACTAAGATGTAAACACAGTGATTCAGAGTGGTTTGGTGTGAAATAGTTCAGATGTCTTTACAGTGGTGGTGATAGGAACCAGGGGTCGCCATGACTACAACACAAATATAGACATTTTATTTACCATCCAAAACCACCAGTGAACCTACACGAGTCTTCTGAGTTTATATGGAATATTGACGATCATAAATAGTTTAAAATAATAAAAATAAAGTTTTGTTTGGGGACTATTTTACCTCACAACAAAAAATTAAAGCCAAAATCTTCTCAAAACTATCATAAAACAGTGTCTCAGTCATCAGGCAGTGAATTCATAACCATTTCATGTAGTAACTTTCTGTGAGGGAGCTTTTAGAGGTGGACGTCTGGCTCCTATCACCACCACTGTGAACAGTTCTGACTCTGTAAGTTTCTCTAGAGCAGAGCGTTTCACACCAAACCACTCTGAATGACTCTGTTTAGGTGTTAACCAGTTAAGTAGACATACATTTTTAAACATTGGTGGAATTTCCCTTTAAGAATGGGCCTCAGAGCTGCAGTGCCCAGTGAGATCTCAGAAAATATGCACTGTTTGTGTGAATTTTGTCATTACTATAAAGGAAATTTGAGACATAGTTAGATATTCTGTTTAGATTGTATGTGATGCGGTTGGGCTGAGTGTGGGTGAAGCTAAACCCACATGCTAAAATTAATATATTTCTATTAAGTTTTGATGTTTTTATTATTACAGTTTAAGAGAAGATGTGCTAAAGATGCAATTTAACCAAAAATCTGGGGAAAAAAAGATGCATGATGAGACTAAAATAGTCATTTCTGCCTGCAGCGTCTTGCCTTAATTATAGCACCTCAAATGTCCCAGATGACTGAAATGAGGCAATTTCTGTCCTTAAAAAAGGATCCTTCATTTTTGATTTCTCACATTGCAGTCTTGAGTCTGTGGCCCTGTTTTTGCAGGTTAACATCAAATAGCATCAAATGCATTTTAACGAGAGCCGGGAGCTCTGGCGGTTTTATTCAGGTTGTATTGAGCGCAGAGAGGACGGGCAAGAAAAGCAGCAGCCTTGTACTGTAAAGTGATAATCTATGAAAAGAGAAAAAAGAGAGAGAGAGAAAGAGAGAAAGAGACTATAATCAACATGAAGACTCACACCAAATGGAGCAATGCTAGAAATAAAGTGAAGAAAGTGATGATGTGAGTGATACCAGTGTTGCAACATTGATGACCGCACTATATTATGATCAAAAGATCAAAAACGAGAGGTATGGAAGGATACTTACAGTGTATATGGGGGGCAAACAGACGTACAGACAAAGAAGAGAGAGAGAGCCTTTTGAATTGAATTGAGAGCGAGAGAGAGACGGAGAGAGATCGATGGAGAGAATTGGAGAGGTGCTGTTGAATGGAGTCCTGTAGAGGTGAATGAAGAGGGGCTTAGCATGCATCCCTTTCTGGCCACCAGAAACGCCTTGTTGCACTGTAATCTCCTGCAATCCCATTAAAGAGAGCGGCTTGGACGGAATTGCGGCCTTTAAGCAGCTCAGATAGGCCTTAGACACCCTAAGAGTTTAATGTTGATAGTAATTTAATAGGCCTTGCTACAGATAGACACGCAGGTGCCCCAATACTCACATAAGCTTCCATAATGGGACAGTTAAAGGGCCCATATCCTTCAGTTTTCTTGTTTATTCCTTTCCCTGAGGTCCAGTTTGTGCACCCGAATTTGGGTTTATTTTTGTATAACCTCTCTTTATCCCTTAGAATTAAACAGGCTGTCTTTGGTACTGTCACTTTAAGATTGAAATATGTAAATTAGCCTGATTCTGGTTGGTTGCCTTGTACATCCAAAAAGCAATCCGGGTAGAAGCGCTCTTTATAACTTCAGTGCGAATAGGCAGGGCTAAACTGCTGTAGGCTGAATGGACAGCTATATGTAAATGGGTTGGATTTTGTGACATCACAAAAACACATTCAAAACAAGCTCTTTTTGTTACTGTCCCTTTAAGACAGAAATATGTAAATGAGCTCTGTTCTGATTGGCTGCCACGTGCATTCAAAAAGCAGTCCGGGAAGAAATGTTTGCGATTTGTTTTAGGTTTTTATGTCATCACAAACAGCACATTCTAAATAGTCAGCGTAATTTCCATATATGAACTGTATGGATTGTGAATTGAACAGAAGAAAAATGGAAGTGCTTCCTCTTTCATTCTGACATCACAAAAACAATACATTCAAAACAGACTGCTACTGTCTCTTTAAGACTGAAATATGTAAATGAGTTCTATTCTAATTTACTGCCATGTGATCAAAAAGCAGTCCAAGCAGATAAGCTCCTTATAACTTCATCGTGAAGGGGTGGGACTAAACAGCTGTAGGCTGAATAGGCTGATATGTGTATATGGGTTGGCTTTTGTGACATCACAAAAACACATTCCAATCAGGCTGTTATTGTTACTGTCCCTTTAAGACAGACATATGTAAATGAGCCCTGTTCAGAATAGGCTGTCATGTGCATTCAAAAAGCAGTCTGGGAAGAAATGTTTGGGCTCTGCTTTAGGATTTTATGACATCACAAAAACAGCACATTCAAAACAAACTGTTTCTGTTACTGTCCCTTTAAGACTGAAATATTTAAATGAGCTTTGTTCTGATTGGCCGTCATGCCATGTGCATTTAAAAAGCTGTTTGTGCAGAAATGCTCCTTACAACCTCAGCATGAATGGGTGGGCTAAACTGCTATTGGTGGATATATGTAAATGATTTAGCTTTTGTGACATCACAAAAACAGCACATTCAAAACAGGCTGTTTTGAAGCTTAATTCCCGTACATGTACTGTATGGACTGTGGAGTGAATAGCAAAGAAATGAAAGAGCTCCCTCTTTCATTCTGACATCACAAAAACAATACATTCAGTGCTTTGGGACATTATGACATCACAAAAACAGCACATTCTAAATAGGCTGTTTTTGTAGCTTAATTTGCATGTAAGAACTGTATGGATTGTGACATCACAAAAACAATACATTCAAAACAGACTGTTACTGTGCCTTTAGGACTGAAATATGTAAATGATACGTCTTATGATTGGCTGTTCTTTAACTTACCTCATTCAGAAAGCGGTTGGACTGAAACACTCCTTATAACTTCAGGATGAATGGTAAATGGGCGGGGCTAAGCTGCTGTAGGCCAAATCACTAATGTATGCAAATTAGTTGGACATCACAAAAGCAATGTATTCAGAACAAAGACCATATAGACTGTGGAGTGAATAGTAAATAAACAAAAAAAGTGAGGCATGGGCCCTTTAAAGCTGCTGACCCCCAGCAGCGTCCTCTTTCATTCCGCCTCCATTGTGCTCTCTCTCCCTCTGTTTATCTGTCTGTGTCCCTCTCTGTCTCGTCCCCTGTGGTGTGCAGTTCAGGCTGATCAGCAGTGTCCCATTAGGCCGGTATATGGAGAGGTAACCTTGCTCTGAGCGCATTGCCACTGCGCCCAGGCCAGCAGCGGACAGCAGAAACAGGCCGCGTGAAAAATGCCCGCTGACCTTCACGGATGGTCACCGTTTCTCTCCATGTTGCATTCTGCCTATTGACACAGTGTATGACGAGCTTTGATTCAAGCACATTAACCCTGAAGCCCAACATGCGTGGCTTTCTTTAAATGGACAGATGTTTCCGACTGTTCGTATGTACCTTGGGACGTTAGCAACGGTCATTTACACACTTAAAAATAATGGTTCTTCAAGGGTTCTTTATGGTTTCATATAGAGCCATGAACATTCCAAGAGCCATTTCCATAATTAAAGGGTTCTTTGCATTGTTAAAGCATTCTTCTGATTGATGAACAATATACTGTAGATGGTTCTATATAGAACCTTTTAGAAAAGGGTTTTATGTACACTCTTAAAAAAGATGGTTCTTCAAGGGTTCTTTGATAAAGAAAATGGTTCTATATAGAACCATGAACACTCAAATAACCCTTTGCACAATTAAAGGGTTCTTTGCATCATGAAAGGGTTCTTTGGATTGATGAACACTTGTGCTATAGATGGTTCCATATAGAACCTTTTTGAAAAGGGTTCTATATACACTCTTGAAAAAGATGGTTCTTCGAGCATTCTTTAGGAAATAAAAGGGTTCTATATAGAACCATGAACACTCAAAAAAACCCTTTGCATGATTAAAGGGTTCTTTTTATCATAAAAGGGTTCTTCGGATTGATGGAAAATATGCATGAATGTGCTATAGACGGTTCTACACAGAACCTTTTTGAAAAGGTTTCCATATAGCACCCAAAAGGGTTCCTCTGTTGTTACAAGCTTGACATCGTAACAATAGAAGAACCCTTTGGGTGTTATATGGAAACCTTTTAAAAAAGGTTCTGTATAGAACTATCTACAGTACATTCTCCATCAGTTCTATGTCATTCAGCTATTATTATTATTTGTTCTGCTCACATTTTGATATTTAGTTTAGTTCTTATCTGAAGAAATAGACGAGGAGGAGGGAGATAAAATATGTTTTTAGTATATATTGTATATACACCAATCAGGCATAGCATTATGACCACCTCCTTGTTTCTACGCTCATTGTCCATTTTATCAGCTCCACTTACTGTATAGGTGCACTTTGTAGTTCTACAGTTACAGACTGTAGTCCATCTGTTTCTCTGATACTTTGTTAGCCCCCTTTTACCCTGTTCTTCAGTGGTCAGGACCCCCATGGACCCTCACAGAGCAGGTACTATTTGGGTGGTGGGTCATTCTCAGCACTGCAGTAACACTGACGTGGTGGTGGTGTGTTAGTGTGTGTTGTGCTGGTCTGAGTGGATCAGACACAGCAGTGCTGCTGGAGTTTTTAAACACTGTGTCCACTCACTGTCCACTCTATTAGACACTCCTACCTTGTCAGTCCACCTTGTAGATGTAAAGTCAGAGACGATAGCTCATCTGCTGCTGCACAGTTTGTGTTGGTCATCTTCTAGTCCTTCATTAGTGGTCACAGGACGCTGTTGGCAGCGCAACACACACTAACACACCACCACCACCACGTCAGTGTTACTGCAGTGCTGAGAATGATCCACCACCCAAATAGTGCCTGCTCTGTGAGGGTCCATGGGGGTCCTGACCACTGAAGAACAGGGTAAAAGGGGGCTAATAAAGTATCAGAGAAACAGATGGACTACAGTCTGTAACTGTAGAACTACAAAGTGCACCTATATAGTAAGTGGAGCTGATAAAATGGACAATGAGCGTAGAAACAAGGAACAGTGGTCTTAATGGTATGCCTGATTGGTGTATTAGAAAGTTTTATGGAGGAAATGATGTCACAGGTATACAATCAGCAATATTTACTTTTTTAAACATTTTCAGTGGACCAAAAGAGTAACATCTAATGGAGCAGATAGAGGATATGTAACTAGAGACATTTATTACTTTTGTCATATTCTTGACTTAACTTTTTTATGTTTTTAATTCTTAATTTTTCAGTGGAAACCAATCACCATAACTATTAGATGCTATTGAGTAATTTAGTTAAGTGTATTTATCTCAGTGTAAAAACGCTGCTCACACCATTTAAACAAGCTTAATAAATGTTTTTAACAGTGTATTGATAGCTCTGTGGTAGTGCATATGGAAGAGGGGGCTCTCGGTGGTCCGTGACCTGGAAAATTAGCTTCTGTTTCCAGCAGCTGTCAGGACAACAGTGCAGATGACTTTGTACTCCAGTGTTGACAAGTCATGTGACCCACACCAAGAACTTAATGACATATTACAAGGAAACACTTGTTATATAGAAATATTACTGTTAAAGGAAAACTTCAGTGACAAACACTGTTCATCCTTCTCCAGTTTTCATTCAGTAATTACCACTTTAACTTTTTGTTCTGGTCATTTTTTATATATGCATTTTTACCCCACCTGTCCTTTTTAAACGTGAAAAATTTCATAACATATTGACCAAAAATATGAAAAGTGAATCTTTAGTGTTTCTAAGATGAATTAACTATTAATTTTTTCCTTCTCCTATGATTTATCTGGGACAAACACTTCTTTAACCCCTAGATTTCATGCATTTTTCTGTATTACATTAATGTAATCACACAATTACATTATTAATTATACAATTATTTACATAAGGAGTTACATTTACATTTAAAATTTGTGACAGGTTCACGTCTGAACAAATAAAAAAACAGCAGCAACTGGACAAGATTTTTTTTTTTCTGTAGCAAAACTACACACAATTATGTCTTTCATCTTTATGGGTTGTGTCAATAACTGATGTGTTTCTCCTCTCAGGTACTGGAAGACGAAGCAGCTTTCTCCGAAGCGTCTGAGCACGGGGATCCTGATGTTCACGCTGGCCTCCTCTCTGTGTGAACAGATCCACCTGTACGGCTTCTGGCCTTTCGGCTGGGACCCCAACACGGGCAAGGAGCTGCCCTACCACTACTACGACAAGAAGGGCACCAAGTTCACCACCAAGTGGCAGGAGTCCCACCAGCTCCCCACCGAATTCAAACTCCTCTTCAAGATGCACACCGAGGGCGTGCTTAAGCTCAGCCTCTCACATTGCACCTAGAGAGCAAAGGTCAATGTCAGAGGGTCACAGGCTGGGATTTTAGGGCCACCCGAGTTTGCAGATGGACGTTTGGGTGGTCCGTCTCCTGCAGGGCTGTTGGGCGTTTTCGCGTATCGACATTAAGGTCAGTAGCAGTATTGGCAAATAATTATCTAAACAATGATGTTAATATCGATTACATCAAAAGGTCCAGTAAGAAATTGCCACTACTACCAGGCCACTTCATAGTGATGCAACTTCTACAAACATCTCCCCTACTGAAATGTGCAATAAGTACGTTCTGGGTCCTGCAGTGACTGCGGCTCCATCTCAGTCATCTCTGTTTCGGGTTTTCACGTGAGCTTGCTTTATATCTTATCTGAGTTGGGCCAACAAATATCACAGAATGAACTCGGAGAACAAACGCCACATAATCTCCTTTAAAAATATCGTTTCTGTATGTTAGCGTTTGGCTTGAAAGGCTAATATAATTACATGCTGCATATCTAAAGAGTGAAAAAAAAGCAACGTATCAGGACCAAATGTTGTTTACAGACTGACAAACTACACGATGGTGACTTTACGTGCTTATGTTTATTTATCTATGATGCATTTAGAATGTAAACATGTCACAAAGGCATTTTAGAGGGGCGTGTTGCAGAGTAGCGCGTTCAACATGAGCAGTTGCTCAGGCAGCCTCATTTCAGCTACAGCCACAACTCTAAATATGCACTCAGATGCATATTTAGATGATTAATATGTGTACATATCCTCATATAGAGAAGCGCTCACTCATATAAAGTAGATCCATGCGTGTACATATACACTGATAGATGAATGTTTAGAATTATTAGAACTAATCTTTCCTGTGCAGGTTTTATTATTTAGTTTAATAAGCATTTTAATGTAAAATCTGACTGGAGTAGGCAGTCGCGAATGAGCGGCACTCACGTCAGTCGGTCTTGGGAGCGTGTATAATCTATGAAAGCCATTCAGCGGGATTTAAGCTTACTTAAAACATGGAATTTTAGCAGTTAAGGCCCAGTCACACTAGCAGTTTGCCAGCGATATGTTGTGAATGCAAGTGCATGCATTTCAACTGAATTTGTCGCGATGTGTGGTTTTGTGTGGCAGACCTCCAGAGCACATCAACTTTGCCTCGAGTTCAATTTAGGTGATTTTGACAAACAAATTCACACCCTTAAGCCCTGTTGCTTTGGCTGTGTTTAAATCTAAAGGCTTCGTTTAGCAGAACTGAAGATCCAAAATGAAGGAAACATGAATTTTAGCAGTGTCTAAACACGAATCCTTAAATATTTCTTCCCAATGGCTATAAATACACACATATAAGCAAGGTAGCCTGAAATGTAGTCAATCAGGAGGCTGTATTCGATTGTGTACCTATCTATATATTTGTGTTTTTACACACTTAAAAAAGTTCTTCAAGGGTTCTTTAGTAAAGAAAATGGTTCTGTATAGAACTGTTAACACTCAAAGAACCCTTTGCATGATTAAAGAGTTCTTTGCATCGTGAAATGGCTCTGCAGATTGATGGAGAATGTGCCGTAGATGATTTTGTATAGCACCTTTTTGAAAATGGTTCTACATAGCACCAAAAAGGGTTCTTCTGTTGTTACAAGCTTGACATCGTAACCCTTTTTGGTGCTATATAGAACCATTTTCAGAAAGGTGCTATGTAGAACCATCTCTTTTTAAGTGTGGGTGTAGGCTGCGCTAGCTAGCTTGCTAAATGCTAGGTTAGCTGGGAGTGTACCCGTGTTCCCAGGGCTGTACATCTCCTTAGCTCTATAGATAAAACACCAAACCTCAAAGCGATACACTAGGGAGATCTATGGAACAGTTCCTAAGGTCATGGTTAGGGTCCTTGGGTCACCAGAGGTTGTACAAGGGACAATGAAGAGTTTTGTTTTTTAGGGCTGAAATGAACTGTTTTTACATCAAAATCACATTTTAAGCTCAATTTTCAAATCGCAAGAGCTGCAATTTTTACTACAGTTTATATCATCAACTGTGTTGTCTAAACAAGATGTAAGTGCAGAAACCTAAGACTGCATTGTGAACCACCTGCGGACGAGTTAGACCAGCATTATACTTCAAACCACGAGAGAACTGAATGAAACCAAACCACCGTCAAACACACTGTTGTAAATGTACTCAAAAAGAACTCAGTGTCCATCTCAGCTCCACTCAAAGTCCAGCTTCATGAAGTGGACCAATCACAGTCAGGAGGAGGTCTCAGAACACACAGTGCAGTGATTAGTATGAGTTATGTGCTTAAAGCTGCAACCAAACGTCTTTGTACTGTGTATGACAACCAGACTACACTCAGAAATATAAATTGTTGTATGAAATTAATTCAATTACGCCACACATTTCCATTCAATCAAATCAAATCAAAGTAGAGTCAGTATAACACACCTCAACGTAAAGTTCAGTTGATGAAACAAAATGTAAACATTTCAGTGCAATTGAATTGAGTTTCAGTGGAATGGGCTTCTCTTTGGATCAAGAAAACAGTTTTCATTCATTGAAATGTGCTTTCATTCATTTTTGTCCATTTTAGGTAAGCCAGTTATTTAAAGACAACTAACGTTGACACATTTGCAGTCCAGCAGCCTCGCTGGTTTATTTTTTTGAGTGTAACTGACAATCTGGCACACTACGTTTAGCAGTCAAGCTTCAAGCCAGAAAAAGTGTGTATGCTGGTCTTCTTAACCAAAATAAAGGCCTGGAAGTCAGTTTATAGAGAATAATAGCAATTTAGATTGCAAATGCAATAATGCTAAAAAAAAATCAAATCATCAAATCAGCCCTACAGGGGTGCACTTGCGCTTAGCTAGGCTATGTTCAGTGAGCTAATTAGCTAGCCAAGCAAACATTCTAATGCAAACTGTTTTTTGAGAAGTCAGGGCATAACATACGTACACGGGACATGGGGAACATGGGTCAGTTACCTTCAGTGGTGGACGAAGTACACAAATCATGTACTTGAGTTAAAGTAGAGATACCCAAGGTAAAATATTACTCCAGTAAAAGTAGAAGTTCCTCCCTTTAGACCTCCACTTGAGTAAAAGTACTAAAGTATTTGCCTTCAAATGTACTGAAGTATCAAAAGTAAAAGTACTAAAAGATTAATTATGGCTCTGATGTCCTATTAGCATTTTTGTAAGAAGACTCGCTTCATTAACTCATTTTAGGTGAAAATACTCCAGTGTCTCTCTTGGTAAACCAGTCTTTTAATAGAATGTCAGTAATTAGTGACGCTGATGTCTATTAAAATTATCATAAGCACAAAACACTGAAGGCAAACAGTTTCCATCAGGTAGAACTGAGTGGCTCTGAAATCACTTTTTACAAACAAGCAAAGTTTCAGTTTAAGATTTATTTGCAACTTAGTTACAAGTTTAAGTTTAATAAAACTTTAAACTCAGATTCACAAATGAGTTTCCTTTACTAAACTGCATCTGTAGGTCTCTGTTCATAAACATAAACTAGACAAAACTAATTTACTATAAAATGAAATGTGTTTGTATAAATTCAGAATAAAGACCCGTCAGTCACAACTGCATATGAGTACATATTTCTATATTGTGGTCTGTTTACACAAAGTTAGGTTAGTTCATCATTTATGTTGAATAGACACTCCCAAAATTTTACGCTGCTGCACTGACGTTGAACCGTGTGCTGCACTGGGTCGGTATGACCAACAGGTCAAAACAAGCTCAAAACAAAGTGACCGCTGTGCCCTGATTGGTGTTCTTGCTTCACGCTTCTTTCGTTTTGACATGTTACGTTTTTATACACACATAAACCAAAAGGAACAACAGATTTCTCATAATGTAGTGGAGTAAAAAGTGAGATATTAGACTTTGAAATGTAGTGGAGTGAAAGTGAAAAGTCACCAAAATGGAAATACTTCAGTAAAGTACAGAGACACGAAAAAACTACTTAAGTACAGAAACGAATTACATCTACTTCATTACTGTCCACCACTGGGTACCTTCATATTTCACTGAGCAGAAAAAGGGCCCTGGGAACATAGGGGTGATCCTGGTTAGCTGGTTAGCTAAGCGCTGCTGCACACACCATTCACCCCACTGCTGCCATCCATGCCAGTTATCTCTGCTGGTTTACCACAACCCAGCATGCATCAGTATGCAAGTATATAATTATCTTGTCTACTCTTGTATTTTACTGTTTATTTTTAGCGAGTTAGCTTTTTTTTTTTTACCAATCTTCCGGTCCAGTTCTGCCTGTTACCCAAGACAACATGATCTGCAAATATCTAGTGTGACTGCGGCTTTAGGCCTTGTCCTGTAATCACTTACGAAGGTGCGAGCAAATGAATGTTATTGATTTATCTGTCTGTGTGTTAAATATGCACAAATGTCTGTATATGAAATGATGAGTTTGCTCATATGTTACATTAAGCTCTCTATAATCGCAGTACCAGGCAGGACTCAGTACAGGTACGGGTTATAAACGTTCTGAGGATACAGTCACTGGACAGTACTGTACAGCTCCAAAACCTGCAGCCTGTGCCAGCGCACACATAAGCAGCGGCATAATTTATGGAAATATTCAGAAGGCTACATGACACCTACATATGCTTGTCATGACAACTGACATAGTCCTGCATAAATGTTTATAAATGCATAGTCCAATAGTCCTTATCCGCTATAAAGGTTGCTTTGATGGCACTTATTGTAATAAGCATTTCTGAAAGATTATGTTGGGTGAAGTCAATTGTCATGACAAACTTATGTAGGTGTCATGTAGCCTTATGAACAGCACGCTACAGTAAAGTGTTACCAAAATGACACTATATTTTACGTACTGTAAGTACATTGCAAAATATATCGGAAGAAAACCTCGTATCTCCAAAATGGTAACTTTACAGGAAAAGGAAAAGACATACTTTACTTTTAATGTAAGTCAATGGAACCAGACGTTTTTTCCAAGCCATTTTGCGTCGTTTCTTTTAATCTGAAATTTATACACAATGTTAAGAACGACAAGCATTTTCAAATTATGTAAAAAACTGAAAAAAACTGCAAAAATGGAGATACAAGGTTTTCTTTCG